TTGGTCAGGATTAAGTCTAGAATTGCGTTACCTCTGGTTGGTGTTCTGATTACTTGTTTTACAACTTACAACGATTTTTAAGGACTCTTTCCTGAAATTCATTACTTAAGGGATTAAAATCTCCAGTAATAATAATTGATGTATTTGGACTCTCGCTAATAAGAGAATCATAACAATAGCAACAATATTCATAAAAACTTTCAACTGCTTCGGTATTCATCGACGGTGGCAAGTATACACACGCAAGTGCAAGTTTTGAAATTTTTCGTGGAAGCCATTTTGGTCGGAGAGTAATCCACAGACATTCATAGTCCGAGTTGTAAAAATCTGGACGAATTTTGAAAGGAAGTGATTCTCTTATATATACGGCCACGCCTCCTCCTCTTCGAGTTGGTCTATCTTTCCTAACTATGGTAAAATCAGGAATATGTAAGGCCTCATCGGGAATAACTTCCGTAAGCCAGGTTTCAGTAACCATAATTACGTCCGCATTTTGTTGGTTAATTATAATCATCAGTTCGTCTATTTTGTTGAAAAGAGATCTAGCATTAAAAAGCAGTATATTTGGTAAAGTATGTTTAATATTCTGACGACTAGGTCGTGAAATCGGAATATTTACCAAATTATTTCTAGGTGCATTCTACCTGCAGTTGTGTTTACGTGTATTGGTAATTCGACATGAATATATTGTGTTTACGTGTATTGGTAATTCGACACTATTACTCGTTGTGACGGGACTTCTGTAAGGTTTTCTCTGAGTTAGACGTACTTTAATTGGTTGGGATTTATAATTGCCAGTGTAATCATTTAAAATAGGGGTAGGGTATGCTCATTAGTGGCCGTAGGAGCTGTCGATTTTGCGGCATCGCCGTCGGTGGGCATCGATTCAGACCCATCGGAGTGGGGATTTGCTGGTCAATTGTCACTCCAAGAGTTTTGGATTAATAAACTTGTTTAATTGACTCGTTTTCAATTTTCACATTTAGTTGCAAATTTGAAATATTCTTTATCATTTGTTTCGAACCAATTAACATAAACTCAGCCTTAGCAACATTTAGATCACGGGAAATAGGTCAGGTGTAGTGTTGTTAGGGAGCGGTCATAAAGTAAGTGCTACCCCGGGGCGGAGGAGATTTTTAATTTTGTGAATAAAATTTCATACCCCCACAAAATTGTCGGATAATATTTGGTATCCCATCAAGATAACGGTCTCAGTGTTTCATACCCCATCATGAAACGATAAGTTTATCGGGGTTTTTTCATGTTGATATGACCGGAGGTGTGCTGATAAAGTGCACCCCTCAGAAATTCTGTTGACTAATTGCCATTATCCTATAAGTTTTATTTTTTAGTAAGTTTTATCTTTCTTTACTTAAAATAACAAAAAAGTAAAATTCACATCCAAAATTCTGTTTTTTGACCCCATTGAATACGACCACCTGTCAACAAAATGGTGAATATTGCTAATATTTTACCCATTTTGGTTATTTTATGTAAAGAGATAAAAAAACATTTTGGATGTGATATTTTTGGGTGATATTGTGTCTTTTACATTCAAAAGACATACTTGTATGTGATGGCATATCTCAGATGTCCATAAACACCACTATTTTTCTTTACAAGCTGGTATTTCTGTACCATATGAAAAGATATACAACTGAAACTGACCTGTCTCCCCATATAAACAATCCAAATCATTTTCAACATCACTGATTTCACCATCATCACTGTGACACTGTCATTGTTGTCATAGTGTTCCATAAATTGCATAATATTCGTAATTGTGCATTCTGCTGTAACTCTAGCTCTTTTTGGTGGCATAACTTCTTTAGTATAAACCGAAGAAGCAATGAAGTCGCTCAAGAAAAGTTTGTAGAGAAAATACGAAGTGGCGACCATGTTTTTATACCAGGCCAATATACTATGTATTACACGAAGTGTAACGCAGGTGGGCTACGAGCATACAGTATATTTTTGAAAATCATGACAATCCTCTGGATTTTTTGCAAAATATTTTATACCAAATTGGTACATTTGTTGTATCAAAGAAGTTTATATACTCTGCAATATATTATGGTTCCTAAATGTTTGGTGTTTGCTCAAAGACCGGGAGATGTTATGCCTTGAAGGTACAAAGAAATAAGTGTATTTGTATATATCAAAATATTATAAAGAAGTATTATATATTATATATATATATAAGTATTTTATAGTATACTATGAATATATTATACTATATTTTACTATTTTATGTAATATATTATGGATATTTTACTTTGCAAATCATGTGTAATAACCCATCTTTGGGATAGTCTAAATAATTGAAAAGTTGAACCATCTTTACAATTGTTACGAAAGTATTAAAAATAGTATAAAAATAGTTCAATTTGCACCCCAGGTAGTTATAGATACTAGTTACGTCAAATGGAGAGATAATGAGCATTTTTGCTGTAAAACTCAGATAAAGTATATCTCATTTCGGACTTGCGTAAAAGTGTCAATTATCTGTCCATTAGGCAAGATAAATAATTTGTCAATTTGTCAAAGTTGGACGATAACCTTGCATGGTGGGCTGTTGTGTTTACATAATTCAAAGTCCAAGGCTGGTTCTTCTCTGACATGAAAATGTGCATGCTTAGGGCCTTTCTGTCAATCATTCTTCGGTATATTTCGCGCGGTTGAGTAATGATAACATTACGTCATCAAAATCTTGGTTCAATAAAATTGTAAGTAAATTTAGTTTAGTAGGTAAAGTAAGGTTCACATAGGTAGAGTTTGAAGTTTTTACTATGATATTTTGATGAGTATTTTAAGTTGTGAACATATTTTAATATTGATCGATTGAACAGCGAACCAACTCGATCAGTGCGACAACGCCTTAAATAAACAGAATTTGAGGGCTGGAACGAGCTAGCAACGCCAACCCACACTTTTAAACCTCAACGTTGATTGGCTGGATACAAATCACACCACTTGCTACATCACGTGTACAAAGATCCCTCAACCGTTAGTATAAAAGGGCGTGCACAACCCAAATTCGTCAGTGTATGATCTCAGTGGATTCTGAGTGGATTCTCAGTGGATGATCTTTCAGTGAACTATCGAGTGGACTCAACGAAGTAAAAATTATGTATGAAAAGTTGTAGAAAGCTCAAACGAAACAAGACAAAACGAAGAAATTAACGAACAGATCACGAACAGTGAAAGCCAGTTGAAGGCTGAAGTGAACTCTTGAAAAACTACCGTGCAAGAAGACGAACACTAAAAACTGATAGTTACTAGAGATTGATTGTAAACGATTCCCTACCTCGCGTAGAAAAGAAATAAATATAAATTTCTAACACAATAATTATCAATTATATGTGCAATAAATTCGCACTGTTTTCAATCGAAATGCATGCATGGTATATTATAAATCTAACAATTGGCATCCTAGTAATTAGCGTTTTAATTTCTAAACGTATACTGTAATTAAATTTATGAGATGATATATTTTTGAAAATATAATTTTTCCCGCATGCAGATGAGGGACCTCCCTTCTTCCTGTATAACAATGGATTTCAAGCTACAGTATCAGGGTTCAACGTATGGCATTGGATAAAGGTTCCAGAGGTATAGTTAACTTTATTAAAATGCTCAATAATTCTCTGAAACTCAAAATGGGTCTAATCGTTCAAATGTTATTGTGATGGGCCTGCCTTAGTTACTTTGCTGTTTGCACACGTTGAGTGCGCAATATATGATGGGTAACCTTCTATTTAGAGTCTTAAACTCGGTACATTTGCTTTGCAACAATGGTATAGGGCATCATATATAACGAACAATTTCGATCTAGCCTATTTAGTTCACTATAAGCTAATTTCTAATCGTAGGATCCATAGAAGCAACACCCATCATCGTTCGATGTTTAAGGTTTAATATTTTTGAAGGACAACCTTTTGTGTATACTATATTTTGTGTATATATGTTTATTTTATTTATTGTTGGCATAAAACCAAGGTAATGAAGGGTTGAAAGGCCTCAGTTCAATCATATCCTAAAACCGAGTTGAATAATAATAATAATAGTTGAGTAATAACAATTAAACTTTACTGGATTTATTATAAACCCATTCAAGCAAAGACAACGTAAGTGTCAAAGTGCACAAAAATTCATAAATGAGCTCATAATGCCATACCAGGACCGTGCCGTTTTTTCCGTGCAATTTTCGCTCCTAAATTCAAATTCTCTCCTGGGATTCTCGCCCCATTACGTGGCGATCGAGTGTTTCTACCAATGCTGTGCTGAGTGGTTATATTACTACCTTAAAAAATAAGCATAATCTCGACGTTTCGAGCGAAGGCCCTTCGTCAGGAGTTAGTAGTTGTTTCTACCAATACCTACAATAAGAATATTTGGGCTCATCTCTGTAACTCTGTTATAGATATTGTAACGACTTTGATAACTTTTGATAAGTAAACGACTTAAATCTAAAAAGTTCATTATCTGATTTTAGATTCTTGTTATCAACGCTATGACAGGAATCATAATCGGTTTATGTTTGGCTTTGGGGTAATTCTTGTTGTCCCTACCACCAACCATGCTGTCGGCGTTTTAGCAACGCTTATCATCGCTTTGATCACGTGTTCTGTACTTGGAAACTTGGACCGCTGGAATCACTCAACCTTACTCTTGTAGTCGGGCTTGCTGTTGACTATGTTGTTCATTTGGCAGAAGGATATAATTATGGAACTTAAACATGAAACAAGTGAAGCCAAAGTTAAGCATACTTTATCTCATGTTGGTATCTCAGTCCTATCTGGAGCCTGTACTACATTGGGAGCTTCAATATTTCTATTGGCTGTAAAAATTCTATTCTTTTTCCAATTTGGAATTTTCCTATTTTGCACAATTGGTTTCAGTATTGTGTATTCATTGTTTTTATTCCCGACTGTTATCGCTCTGGTCGGTCCGGAAGGCGAGAAGGGATCAGTCATGCCTGCGGTCAGGTGGGTTCGTGGGTTGAATTTTATATAACATGCATGTCCAACGAACCAGAAGATACTACACCAATCGATTCATCGAGCTGCCAAACTGAGTTCGAAGAAAAACCACCGCCACCGAGAAAACAACTTAGATTGCATGATTTCCGTACTCAGCAAGAGCAGACTGCGAACATCTTCCTCCTCCCTCGTTTTTGCTTAGCTTTCATTTTCTTGATTTCGCCATTAAGCTGCAAAATGTCCGATGTAAACACCATATTTAACCACAGTTAACTGTGATTTAACGCACGTATTCACTTACTTACATCGAGTATATTGTGAGGCAGACACAGAAGAATGTGAAATGAGATCAACTAATTATATTTGTAGCTAGTGTATAATATACACTATGTATTAGACTGCATATATAATGTCTTAGATGTTAAAATATTTAGTATTAATGTATTATTTTAAGTGCATGATAGGGTTATTAGGGTATCAGTGTAAAGTCAAGGACTTGTATACGTATATATGTAACAAGTATATGATACGTTATTAAATTACTGTTACTTAATTGACTGGTTATGATCACGTGCTATTGAATACAAATTTCCATTGGCGCACTGATATTTTCATCCGGTAAAAGATGAAGTTGATCATATGTGTTATTCGCTCTGCATATTGAAAGCCATTCCGATCCAGGTATAAAACGCTTGCACGAACAGGGAGGAATTTCGTTCTCGACCAATCAATGCATTTGTTGACATTTTTGCTCTAAGCCAATCAGAATGCGTAATTGGTTACTACTTCCGGTAAAAACGTACAGTTGAACAGAAAATTTAGTGTCTTAAATAAAGCTTCGTGATTGTTTTGATTGGATTTAACGTAACAAGGTAAAATAAGAAATTTTCTAAAAATTTGCCGCTGGGATTTGCCTTTTATTGCCTAGTTTTAAAGTTATCGACATTCGAACAGCGGCGTATAAAAAGCGCGCAAGTTCGAATGCCGATAATTTTAGAACTAGTCAATAAAACGCAAATCCCAGCGGCAAATTTTGAGAAAATTTCTTATTTTACCTTGTCACGTTGAATCCAATAAAAAATTAAAAATCCTGACTCCCTCGAATTTTAGTTTAAGACCAGTTAAGTTTCTGTTCAAGTGGGCTTTCTGTGCTCGCAGGGAAACTATCTACGGTAACCAATCAGACATTCTGAGCGAAATTGTCAACAAATACGCTGATTGGTCGAGAACGAAATTCCCTCTTGTTGCTTGCACGTGAACAAATATAGGCATACATTATTGGACAATTTGCCAAACTGAAATTTTATAAGTATTGTGTAACTACATAGTACATGCATTTATATATGTACGATATACAGCTAACTCAAAAAGGCTGTCTTTCTAAACCTTAAAGCCGGTTTTCCACTAGGCGGAATTTTGTGCGCGGAGCGGAGTTTTTCGTTGTCTTCTCTCATTAGTTCCACTCGAGAAATCACAAGTCGACAAAGAAAAATTCCGCTCCGCGTGCAAATTCCACTACTGGAAAACCGGCTTTAAACAGGAAGCGCCAAAAGCGCAATCGGAATACACGGTGTTTGTCGTATTTAGTCAAAATCATGACTTAATTCTCATTATTCATGCATGCATGTGCATACAGCCAATATTCACGATTGAGAGCGTTCCATTGTGATTTTGCGTTTAGAGTTTAATTAAAGGGGCAGTGTTCACCGATTTTGACCCTCGCAAATCTTCAGGAATCTTGCACAAAAGTTACAAAACCCAAAAAGAATGGCTGTAAGTACCACATAAAACAATAACAAATACGAAAAACATATACAGCAGTCTGGATGGTTGAGATTAGGCGAGGATTGAGATGGATTGTAAGTGACATCTTGATTAATTGTTGGCAGACACTTAATTTTTCACGTTTTGGTCAATTTGTATGAAAACGTCGTCTTACATGTTGTGTGCGGAAGTTCAAAGTTGTGTAATATGATTCGTATATCATAACTGAACCTGATTTTTTCTGTGTTGGTGTTGTGTACTCAGGTGAATATGATGTTTGTGATGTTACTCTGAGTGTATATCCACACCGGGCGAGCTTGAAAAACTAGTATGCCCGGCCACGGTGGGAATCGAACCTACGACCTTTGGAATACTAGCCCAATGCTCTGCCAACTGAGCTACGCGGTCAAGACGGTTCGAGTAAGTGATATTTCGGAACAGAATCTAGTTCCTTCGATACCAATGTAATCTAGTAATATGATTTTTTCTGTGTTGGTGTTGTGTTCTCAGGTGAATATGATGTTTGTGATGTTAATCGAACCTACGACCTTTGGAATACTAGCCCAATGCTCTGCCAACTGAGCTACGCGGTCAGGACGGTTCGAACCGTTCGAATTAGTTGTATATATATAGCTGATTCAAAAAAGGCTGTCGTTTGCGAACCTTAGACTATAAACCTTAAATTCTAAGCGCGCAAAGCTTAATGGGAACACAAGTTTCAAGCTTAGTAGTTGAATATTGCAGCTATTTGTGAATGAATTGTTCTCATATAAGGAGATATTTACCATGTCTCTAAGAAATTAGTTTCAAAGTTTCGGACAGTGAGTACAATATTCAAAGCGAATACAAGCCTAGACGACAGAGAATATACGGCGAATAAAACCTGTTGGGGGCTAATACTATAATTATAATCACTGCAATCAGCACCATTCTACTAACATTCGAGGAATGATGTGGAATCCTTATTATTCATTGCAATAGTCAGTATATTATTTAGTATAGTATTATTTATGATCATAACACAAACAAAGTCGTCAAATAAGAACTCACTATAGTGTAATTGTCTCGGCTTTTTTAAAATACCGTGCACGTTATATCGCAGCCAAAAACGTGAAATAAGTTATTGGAATAAATTGGTTTCCCACTACAAAAACAAAACAATTTCGTCATGCAAACCAAAAAGAATCTTATATACATGATTATAGCGTATATAATACAAGCATATTTGATAGCATAATTAATCTAATTAAACAGTATATTCGGGACCAATACTGGTATATAAGGTCTGCACCTTAAAGGCCCTGTTACACGGTGCAATTTTTCATGCAACTTGTCTCGCAATAGCGTTGCGAGACAAGTTGCACGAGTCATTGCACCGTTTAACATGCCTTGCAATGGTCAAAATCGTTGCGAGACAAGTTGCATGAAGCATTGCAGAGAGTAGAAGTCGGTTCTACTTTTGGACGATTGCACTAATTATTTTTAGCATTGCAGCGTGTAACATGGCTTCGTGCAACTTGTCTCGCAATGTTTAATGCTTGGAGAGTTCCTATTGGCTCTCCCCAGTACACGCTTTACTTTAATTAAAATTTGGCGCCAAATAGCGCCTCTCTCTATTCTCTTCGCATGCCTTTGTCCCGTACACTCTTAAAAATAACTGTGTTATATAACCTACTTATTTTGTCCAGAAATTAACACGGGTTATATAACACACTAGTGTGTTAGATAACACACCCTAGGGTGTGTTTTTGGCTTGTCCAAAAATTAACACGCTTTACGTGTGTTATTGAAAAAAGTGTGTTATTTAGCACACAACAGTGGGTTTAAAAACACACAACAGTGTGTTATTGTTAAGTGTGTTATCTAAAAAGGTGTGTTATTTAGCACACAATAGTGGATTGCTAAAACACACCTTTATGTGTGCTAAACAACACACATACAAGTGTTTCTAAACAGAAATGTGTTACAGAATTTTGGATAAAAGAAATGAATATTTTAATACTGAAATTGTGCATACACTTTATTACATGTACTTTAAAATATTTACAAATATGAATGGAAAATATGGAATCGTTAATCACAATGCGGCCTATAGGCTATAATTTATATTATTCATATATTCTGTACTACGCTATGCAAAATTTGCCAAACGTTTGGCCATATTGGTTGAATGGCAGGTCAAAACAAGTGAAGTTTCTTTGGGGTGTTTTGCCACTTATAAGTACAAAGCAAAAGTAACTCTATGCAACTACAGTATATATGTTGTTAATCACTACCTACACTGACACATGCATGCCTTATACACAATTTCAACACTGTCTAAAAATGTGAATATATTATTTATTTATTTAACCTTCAATCACTGTCCGTTCCACATTAGGGGAATCTTTCCTCTGTAAATGTCAAATATAAAGGCATTCAGGGTCATCCACTATTTTCTTGCACTATAAGGTTTGTGTCTGCCAGAGACATATACATGATGTAAGATTGGAGAAAATTTCATAAGTACCAGGATATGACTGTAACGATCTGTGCACATCTATCTAGCAAAGAACACAAAACAGCAAATGTATGAATTAATGTATTAAGAAAAAAACAATGCTTTTAAAAGTACATCCTACACACATGAGACATATATAGACAAGCAGAACATATTTGCAAATATTGAAATGAATCTCGGGTGGATCAAGCTTCACTTGTTAGAGAAGGGGTGGATGTTTTCCAAAGATGAGAGGGGGGGGTGTTGCATTATTATAGGGCATTCTCCTCCGGAAAAAGTTTGCAATTTGAAGCCATAAATGCCATTTCCTTATTAAATTTGTTCTCAACGATTAAGAAACTAAACCTTAAACTCTCTCTTTCAAAAAAGTCGTCTGGTGTCAGACAGAGTCAAATAAAGGGTGCATCAGGTAGCAATGCTAAGGATGTGCAAAGCAACGCTACCTACATGTATAGCCATAACACTAAAAAAATTGTGACAATTCCATAAGGTTTATATTAAATACTCGGCAACCCTACATTATTATTTAATCTGCCTACTGCAAAATGATTTTACAGGTATTTGTCAAGGGAAGATTTTTGTCCATTAATGGGTTAACCTTAGCACCTGCTAGTGTATTTGGTAACTTCGGTTAGCCCTTGAAGTATTTAAGTAGCATTGTAGCCATTCATTGTTATTTTACTCCACAAGAAGAGACTGCTGGAAGACTGGAACTTGATTTGGCATTGTACTACATGTAAGTGCACCCTACTTGTTATTTTACATGTACCCTATCTTAAACCAAATCATCTCAAACCAAATCAAGGGTGAGTGTTGACAATTAATGGGTTGATGTGTCAAATGAGCCATCCATCTAGAGAGAAGTGGCATAAATTTGGTTCAACAGTAAATTCAACCGATAAACAACTCCCAAAAAATTAAAATAAGTAGAGAAAATTCAGCTTGTAAGGGGCAAGCATATATCGACAATAGTGAGTGACACATTGACCC